GGGAAGGGCAGCCTTAACTTTTATTTGAAAATTGCGCTTGCAAGAATATTTAAGTGCTTCAAGTGTAGCTTGGGTGAACTACTATTGACAAATCAGCACATATTTTTTGTTCTTACAGTTCAGAGGTTTTCAAACTGCAGGGTGTGCCCCCGTAAGGGGGTGGGGAGGAATGTTCTGGGAGGGGAGCAGTGAGACTAGGTGGCTTGGGCCAGCGCCACACCTCCTTCACCCCCTGGTTCACTTCAGCAGGCCACCCAGCCTGTGGATCAGTATCAACACCTCTGCGCCCAGAGACAGTCGTACATGCCTTCCCCCATCCTGAAAACCAAGGGGGAAAGGGCAAGTATTGTGGGGCACAACTAAAAATTGTAACTCGAAGGGGGTGGCTCAGCTCAGAAAGTTTGAAAAATGCTGTTATCTTTTTTTTTTAATCTCCCTCTGTTGGTTCTGTTCTTGTAATTTCAATACTCTGCTGATTTACAAGATGTCTGTGTGCTGAAAACTTCAGAAACCGGAAATATAAATTTTAATTCCCTGCTGGCTCACAAGAATGGGGAGTTCTCATTATGTACAAGTTTACATATGAACAGCCATACTGGGTCAGATCAAAGGTCTATCTAGCCCAATATCCTGTCTTCTGACAGTGGCCAATGCCAGGTGCTTCACAGGGAATGAACAGGTAATCAAGTGATCCATCCCCTGTTGCCCATTCCCAGCTTCTGCTAAACAGAGGATAGGGACATGATCCCTGCCCATCTTTGCTAATAGCCACTGATGGACCTATCCTCCATGAATTTATCTAGTTCTTTTTTGAACCCTATTATAGTCTTGGCCTTCACAACATCCTCTGGCAAAGAGTTCCACAGGTTGACTGACTGTGTGTTGTGTGAAGAAATACTTCCTTTTGTTTGTTTTAAACCTGCTGCCTATTAATTTCATTTGGTGACCCCTAGTTCTTGTGAGAAGGAGTAAATAACACTTCCTAATTTACTTCTCTCCACACAAGTCATGATTTTATAGACTGCAGTCATATCCCCCCCTTAGTCGTCACTTTTCCAAGCTGAGCAGTCCCAGTCTTATTAATCTCTCCTCATATGGAAGCTGTTCCATACCCCAATCATTGTTGTTGCCCTTTTCTGTATCTTTTTCCACTATATCTTTTTTGAGATGGGGCAACCACATCTGCATGCAGTATTCAAGATGTGGGCATACCATGGATTTATGTAGTGGCAATATGATATTTTCTGTCTTCTTATCTATCCCTTTCTTAACGATTCCCAACATTGTTAGTTTTTTTTTGACTGCCGCTCACACATTGAGTGGATGTTTTCAGAGAACTATCCACAGTGACTCCAAGATCTTTCTTGAGTGGTAACAGCTAATTTAGACTCCATCATTTTATATGTGTAGTTGGGATTGTGTTTTCCAATGTGCATTACTTTGCATTTATCAACCTTGAATTTCATCTGCTATTTTGTTGCCCAGTCACCCAGTTTTATGAGCTCTCTTTGTAACTCTTTGCAGTCTGCTTTGGAGTTAACTATCTTGAGTAGTTTTGTATCATCTGCAAATTTTGCCACCTCACCCCTTTTTCCAGATCATTTATGAATATGTCGAATAGGGCTAGTCCCAGTACAGACTCCTGGGGGACACCACTATTTACCCCTCTCCGTTCTGAAAACTGATCATTTATTCCTGCCCTTTGTTTCCAATCTTTTAACCAGTTACCAGTCCATGAGAGGACCTTCCCTCTTATCCCATGACAACTTACTTTGCTTAAGAGCCTTTAGTGAGGGACCTTTTCAAAGGCTTTCAGAAAATGAGTACCCTATATCCACTATAAGTTTGTCCAAGTACACCTCTACCCCGATATAACACAAATTCTGATATAAGGCGGTAAAGCAGTGCTCGGGGGGGGGGGGGGGGGGGGCCTGCGCACTCCGGCAGATCTAAGCAAGTTCGATATAACGTGGTTTCACCTATAACGCGGTGAGATTTTTTTTTTTTTTTTTTGGGCTCCTGAGGACAGCGTTATGTAGAAGTGTATGTTCAGGATTTCTCCAAATAACTTGATTCTACAAGACAAAGTAGCTACCTAGAGTAACTTGTCAATAAATTTAAGATTCTGTCATGGGTATTTTTCGTAAAAGTCAGACTGGTCACGGGCAATAAACAAAAATTCATGGAAGCCTGCAACTTGTCCAGACTTTTACTTAAAATACCCAGGAGGAGAGGGGAACGACTAACAGTTGGAGCGCTGCCAGGGGCTGACCTCAGCAGCTGCTCCTGGCAGGGGCTGACCACCCTTGCTCCAGACCAAACCCCGGCTGCTGCTTCAGCCTGAGGACCAGTGCTCCTGGGGCTGGCTGCTCTGGAAGAAGTCACTGAGTTCCCAGAAAGTCATGGAATCCTTGACCTCTGTGACTAAATTGTATCCTTACTCATCAACTGTCTCCATACAGTTGATATAAAATATTGAAAATATGCAGGTTTACAAGAGAAGCATCTTTCCTATTGTGCATTTTATATATAGATGCACTATATTGCTCATTTCCTTTACTGCATTAAGAGAATAATTCATCGACAAATGTCTTAATGCTCACTTAGCCATTACTTAATGCACAAGTATCCAGCCTGTGCCTCTTGTGAATGATGGTTAAGAAGAAAATGGTATTTGATTATAAATTAAAAATCTGTTCCCCGAATCATGCCTTGCAACTTTTAAGTGTTGGAATCAGGCTCTTTGCTGTGTGAGGAGATATTAGGGGTATTGCCTCCCACAGCTTCCACTAAAACCCTGTGAACAACTCGGATGTGAGCTAGAAGTGCAGCTGCTGTTCCTTCTTTCCTGAAGCTGCTCAGTACTTCCTCCCCTGAAATGCAGCAGTCCAGTGAGGGAAGAGTAGTTCTAATCGTGGGAGCCCCAGGAAGAGCAGGGTAGGAATTTCAGACACTTCCCAAGCTCAGAGCATCTAGCAAAGGATGGCTCCCCTCTCTCTCTCAGCCATTTGGAGAAGCAAAAAAAAAAAAATAGGCCGGGGTGTGTGTGGCGGGGG